CCTCAAACTTACAAGGCAGGTGCAGTGCCACTGAGCTGAATCCCCGGCCCCCCAAAAAAAGTTTTAACCAGGTCTTCTTTTAACAATTAGCCAAGATATATTTTATAATTTTTCTTGATGAAAATTCTCACAAGCGAGTACTTCTCATTTTTTAACACCGTCCACTAGGAAATATATTCTTATAGTAATACATACACACATGAGCACCAAAGAATACTGAAGATTCTCTAACAAATCCTTAATATTTATACCCTTCACTCTTCAAGCTTAATTCCCTACACGTGGACGCACTTGCTTCTGGAAAGAACACTTACAGAAAAAATTTTCCATCTACAGGTCCCTTTCATTCAGTAACCTCTTTTGGAGACACAAAAAGATTTTTAAGCTATTAATAACACGTCCAAACCCAAGCTGGTAAGTTTGAGCTGTAATTTATGTACATTCAGTTCCTACACACACCTCTGTTTTCTTCAAGACTCTGAAAAGAGGCTGGGAAAGAACTAAGTGCAATCTGCATTAGGAGGCCTAACACAGGTGGTGGGTTATTTTCAGGCAACAGCACCTTCACAAACATGCTATGGAATACAGTCCAAGAAATTCCTAACAAGGAAAGATAAGCTGGCACACAAATTTAACACAATCCAGCTAAAAATCACCTGCAACACCTGCTACTACATTTCAGCATAAAAGTGACAGGCTACTAAAGGACCTGAAGCATCATCAATACAGCATACTGTCCATAAGACCACAGAGAGCAGTTGCCATGGTTACTCTCACCCACTTTTATCAGGAAATTATTGTAATTATCCTTAAGTTTTGGGGTACTTATTTTAAAAAAGCAGGTTTGGGTTCTGACTGTTAATTGAGTGAAAGAATCAACTACTGTTTGATTGGTAAGTATGTCGCTTTAGAGATGCACATGGTTAACAATACTTGGATCTGCAGCAGAAAAAATCAATTCCTTTCTGCTGCTCCTTCTCTTCAAGTACTGACAGTTTGTATTCTCAATGCAGCCAAAACAATAAAACAAAACGCATCTTTTTGGCTTCTGTGTTTAAGTTATGTTTTTCCCCCAGGCCCACAAACCAAGTCAAAATAAAGCCCAGATCAGCAACCTACTAGGTCTCATCCCCTTCCTAACTCCACCTTACTGGCTCACTTTCTTGTTTACTTTTATTTTATTGTGCATTATTTTGTTGAGACAGGGTCCATGCTGTCCAGGCTGACCTCAAACTCCTGGGCCCAACAGATCCTCCTACCTCAGCCTCCCAAGTAACTGGGATTACAGGCGTGCACCCCCCTAACAGCTTCCTACCTACTTTAAAAAACAGAAAACATTTCCATGGCTGATTCTAAGATAATAGGAAAGAGGAGTTTCCTTCAACTGAGTCTGCTCATGAACTGTTTTTAATTTTTTAAAAGGGTAGGGGAGATTTGTAGAGCATTAGAGGGGAAGAAGTGACCTAGTATTCAAAATCCTATCCAAGAGTCTGGGGCAAGAAAGTTGCTTTAAAACAAAAGCCCCAAGGATGACTGAACCTCACAGACAATCTCTACAAGGGAAGAGCTCACCACTACCCCAGTATGAGATGAATGGGTAGTCAAGTAATAGTAAAGTTATGCTTAAAAGTTTATTCTACCTAAGCCGGGCATGATGGCGCATGCCTGTAATCCCAGCACTCGGGAGGCTGAGGCAGGAGGATCACTGTGAGTTCGAGACCAGCCTGGGCTACATAGTGAGTTCCAGGTCAGTCTCAACTGCATAGTGAGACCCTGTCTCAAAAAAACCAAAAAAAAAAGTTTATTCTACCTAAGGCCGGGGATGTAGCTCGGTGGTGCTGCCGCCTGCCTCGCAAGCACAGGGTCCTGAGTTTGATCCTGGTACCAAAAAAAAAAAAAAAAAAAGTTTATTCCACCTTCTCAAAAAAAGATCGGTATTCAAAAATTTAATACATGAAAAAAAATTTTAATACATAAATTCCTAAGAATTATATGAAAGCCTACAAAAAGTTATGGCCTTATATATACACAAACATACAAAGAAAATCACATATGCTCTTTAGGAAATAAGAATTAACAATAAATTTAATGCAGTTAACATATTACTGCTTTAAAAAAATTCCAAAGCAGCAAAAATATTCACCTGGTAAAGTTAACATGATCAAAATGTATTGCTATGATCCTAAATAGAATACTTAAGACTACTGAAAAAGTCCATGTACAAAAATTCCTGAGAAGTCAACCTAAATTAGTATTTCCTAGCACAAAATAATATGAAAATTCAAACATGTTTCAAGAAATCAATTCTGATTATAAATGTAAAGGAATTCTGTCAAAGGCCAAAAACCTAAAACTTTAATCTCTTCCATTCTTTCTGAATAGTAATTAAATACAAAAGCCCTCTGCAATACAATACTAAGGACAGAAAATTTAAAAGTGCCTTAATATAACTTCAACTTCATATTTCTTCACAAAAGCTTTAGTGTTCACTGTCTATAGCATAAAAAGTTAGTATCACCCGAGGTTTCATTTGTCTAAACAGTTAAATGTTTTCTCACCCTTCATAGAATCATTTCTATATTTATTTTCTAATTGAGGCTGTTTCATAAAGTAGTGCAGTCACTTCTAAGATTTAATATACTAGATTCTTTGATATATTCACAAACACAATGATTCCCACTTTACGGGGGTGTTTTTTGTTGTTTTAAATTTTCTATTCCAAATCTGTGAGCAGAGTTATGAAAAGAGCGGCAATTTAAGGCTTTAAACTTTGGGGTTATTTTTACACAAAAATATTTCAGGGTCCTCCTCTAGATTTGAGTAGTCATTTCCTCATGCATGCTTCTAAAATAGAAAACAAAAATGATACACACATGTACCTGATACTAATGCACACAGATGTACATATTTTCACCGTACAGCAAACCTGAAAGCTTTAGTCAGTAAGAATTTTTTCAGAAAGTTAGCAGAGTCAATCAAAACAATCAAAACTTTAGCACTGACATCTGTTAACTCCGTGTGTTAATAAGAGTCTATAGAATAGTCCAGGAACTTAAATATTCACTGCAATCAACTACAATCACATCAATGGAGAAGGGAAGAAAAACTTTAATCGTGGACATACAATTCACAAGAACTTCCAAAGGAAAAAATGATCTTATTTGAATTATGGGAAACTGCCTACACAGCATTTTTTAAACAAAGCTTCAAAACTATAACAAAGAGATTTTTGGTAACCACAGCAGTATTTAAAAACCAAAAATTCATGAAATGTCCAGGGTGCACTTTTAGTGCATTAATTTTCCAACTGATATGAGAAGAGTGAGCATTTTAAGACAGAAGCTCTGTGCATGTATTAATTGGTCATCTAGCTCAACAACTTAATATCTGCACGGGTCTGGCAACTTACAAAGAACTTTCACATGTATTACCTAATATGATTTTACTGAGCAAAAAGTACAGTGTTATGCCTACCAAAGGTACAAAATTCAAAGCAGGTTCCTCAAATTCTCTATACATTTCTAAGTGTTTAAAACTTTGATATAAAACTCTACAAGCAACCACAGAAGTGTAATATTTCCAATAATAATCAACTCACCTAACACTAACAGTTTCAAAGGACCATGTGCCATAAATGCTATGAAACTGTTAAAATACTTATGTCTTTCTGCAGTTATTGCTGAGTGTTACTAATGGACAGACATATCAGCAATGATCTGTATCTGCAGGTATAACTTTACCTATAGTTCAACAACCTGTCTCTGGAGGCCAACCAAAATACATTAATCACGCGTATTTATAAAACTGTCATAAGAAGACCTTAGATTTGGGGGATAGGGATGGGGAAAGAAGGCCCCTCAAAAAAGAGTAAGATTTTTTCACACAAGAGTTCTCTTGACAAACTTTCAAATACTCTAAATCCTATGTACATTCATATTACAGGGATAATCACAAAGCTTAAAGTCTCACATCACACCAACTACAGTTTATTGCAACTGCACGTAATTTTTTTTTAAATGTATTCATTCCACTTCAGCAATACAAGACTAACTCCTTTCTCAAGAGCAACTCTTAACAGCCTTCTACACCTAACCCCAGCATCCTTACACTAACCGCAGTAAAAAATCAACTTTGCAGAGTATCATAAGCAAGTAAAAAGCACAAATTTTAGTTTCAAAAAGCAAATGTAATTTATTGTCACTTTTTACTGGACTTACTCAAATTTTCTCTGGAACTTTAAGGTGTTAATCCTGTTGCTTAGCTGAAGCTAAGTAGTTTCAGTAAGTGGCAAGACCCTCAAAATTCAAAAATGTCCTTTATCTTGCTGCAGCACCTCCTGCCGGATACCATTTAGAGATGCCCATGTAAGCAGAAGATGAGTATTTGTGAGGCAGCTCCCCCTCCCAGGTAATTGAATGGAACAAGGAAAGGCCCTTCAAAGCGAAAAGTACCCATCCATCATGTATACCTCTTAAAAAATAAATTACAGTATAGACAGGTGTCTTTTTAATCTATTACTACAGTATTCCAGTTCCATAAAGACGTGCCTGAGTCTCAAGTGCAACATTCTTTATAATAAACCTTGCAAAACTATCTAAAAACTTAGTTACAATGCCTTCAAAAGCACTCAAGCAAACGATTTTATTATGGGCAGCCCGCAATGCCAGTGAAGCTGTAAATACTATTATGCTACCTAAAGCAGAAGTCTGATTTTTTAAAAAGCACCTAGAATATTAATATTTGTCTTGAAAATGTTCTGTATTACTATGTTCTTCACTTAAAGATAGCTAGTTGCACATCTACAAAAGCCTTAAACACAAAATTTTTTTAAAACGAGTGTAAATTTTGCACAAAAATTTCCTCTTTGCCATCAAAAGATACATTCTTTTAAAATGCATTCTTCAGACATTTTAGATGGCTCCTAATAAGCCAGTGTTAAGCCCACGACACAGATTTCACACACAAGTGAAGACTTAAGAAGAGAATAAGAAGGAACTTACCGAAATTAACATGAATAATAGTATTTCCAGTAAAAATGTAGTAAAGGTTTCCTACAAGGTTGTAAACCAAGTAAATTGTGAAACTCTGAAAAAAGAGAGGGGGCTAGCTTTCAAAAACCCAGGAAAAGCTGACCTATTTATTTCTACTGCCCAAACGTGAGTGAACAGCAAATGTAAACAAACAGCAGAAGCACTGAAAAGCACGCTTACACATCGCAGCCTCAGTTTCAGTCCTTTACCTCAATAAAGCTGCAGATGCTGACGGTGATGAGTAGCCTCTCTACGAGGCCATGTCTGAGCTCCTCGCCTTAAGGCACCCCTTATAAAGTACGCCTATGAAAAGCCTTCCTTCCTAGAGTGCACAACTGTTTAAAAAAAAAAAAAAAAACTTTCATCAGCCCAAATTAATCTGATTCTAATATTCAGCCATCAATTATTAATATACAAATGTTCTTCCCTCTCTAACTTCCCCAGGCATCTACATTCCTGACACCTACCATTGAGAAAAATGCAGGACTCGACTCACACCCCGGCTATGGGGCAAATCTTTGAAATCCGAAACACAGCCACAAAGTTCACTGTCAAGGCCAGAGCTGAGGCCCACACACGTCCGGACCTTCACTCACACTTGAAATTCTAGAAATCCACACTCCCAGAGACATCATTTACAAACAACACAGTGTGGACGTGCAGTGTGAGATCCTCTACTTCAAGACCTAAACAAAGAATATTTCAACATATGACCGGAATATGATGACACCGGATTCACCAATGAAAACAAAACCTGCCTACCATTAGCAGTCAGTCCTACCCTCATCTCAACAACTCAACTACTTAGAAATCACTCTCCGCACATCTACACCCACAACCGGCGTGTGGCCTCCTCCCGGGGTGCAAGCCACACAGACAAAGTTGAAAAGGAGACATTCTCCACCCGCTGCCCAATCTCGAGGCCAACCCCTCCCCTGCCAGGGCCACCTTGCCGCGGCTACCCACCATCGCGAACGTGGCCAGGGAGAGAGGGAGAGGGAGAGAGAGAGAGGGAGAGAGGAGAGAGCAGAGAGAGGAGAGAGATCCTAAGAGCACCGCTCAGCAGAATAAAGAGCCCCGAGAGCGAGGATGACGAGAAGTGTGGGGAACTCCGCGCACTGGGGTCCTGGGGCGCCCCGAGGGCTGCGGGCGGCGGAGGAGACTGCGGGAGGGCCAGCCCCGGGGTGAGGGGTGCAGGCAGACTCTCCGGAATAACAAGTTGCAGAAGAAGAAGAATAAGCGGAATTTCCCCAACGCTGCTCCGGCCACCCAAGACAAATGCACCAACACACACACACACACTCACACACACACAGCACTGGGGTCCTGGGGCGCCCCGAGGGCTGCGGGCGGCGGAGGAGACTGCGGGAGGGCCAGCCCCGGGGTGAGGGGTGCAGGCAGACTCTCCGGAATAACAAGTTGCAGAAGAAGAAGAATAAGCGGAATTTCCCCAACGCTGCTCCGGCCACCCAAGACAAATGCACCAACACACACACACACACTCACACACACACACTCGGGCCCGGCGGGCGTCAGCAGCCGCAGCTGCTTTTTTCTTTTTTTTTAAACCAGATCCCTCAGTCATCAAACAAGATGGTTTTCCCAAAAAAATTTTTTTAATTAAATAAATAACCATAACAAAAACTTCCCCCCGACAGCATCCCGGGGTGTGTGCGGGGAGAAGGTGGGAGAGCCAGAAAACCACCCCTGGGCCGAGGGGGTGCGGATTGGGGAAGGGGGCAGCCCAGGCCCCGCGCCCCCGC